GGTGTGTGCTGGTCCCGGGGTAAGGTACCTTGGGTGTAGCAGAGTCCACACGAAGAGGGGCAAGGTCCGAGGCAGAGAGCCGGGCGGGGAACAGGAATGCTGGAACGGGAGGCTGTGCAGGGAGCAGGAACACCGGATGGTCGGGAACAGGAGGCCGAGCAGGGAACAGGAGTACCGGGTAGTCAGGAACAGGAAGCCGAGCAGGGAACAGGAGTACCGGATAGTCAGGAACAGGAGGCCGAGCAGGGATCAGGAACACAGGAAGGTCCGAAGCCAACAACGACGTTGCTCCCGCAACCTGGGGCCGGGCTGACTGGGCTTTTATCCTCTTCTAAGGCCAGGGGCGGTCCCGGTCCCCAGGAGCCCCGCCTCCTCTGGCCTTAAGGCGAGCACTCCTCCTGGGGGCAACCAGTTCCCTTCGCCTCTCTGCCCTAAGCCTCTGCAGATCAGGAGAGGCCGAAGGGTTACTGGGCCCTGGAGGAGGCTCACCTGTGGCCACTGAGTCATCAAGCCCCTCTGGGGCCAGAAGGGCTTCACCTGGGGCCAGCTTCTGATGCACTGCCACAGGTGCAGGCTCTTCAGCATCAAGGCCTTGCCCCAGTTCAGCCGGCCCTGGAGGCGGGGACTCCTGTGCAGGCTGGGATTCCTCTGTTTCATCCTCCGAATCGGAATCCCAGGCCATCACACCATCCCCCTCCCAGGCCCCCCCCTCAACCGAGGGTCCGGACCCGGCTTGCCGGGATACGTCGCATGGAACTCTCGGAGGCAGGCAGGTGCGTGGACATTGGCCGCTGGTTCCCAGGAACGGTCCTCCGGTCCGTACCCCTTCCAGTCAATGAGATACTGCAGCTTTCCCCTGCGGTATCGGGAGTCCAGGATGCGTTCCACCTCGTACTCAGGCTCTCCCGAACCAACACTGGCTGCGGTCGGGGACGGTTCTGGTGGAACTCGTCGGGTGGGGCCACCGGACTCAAAAGGGACCTGTGGAAGACCGGGTGAACCTTCAGGGTTGCGGGTAACCGGAGACGGAATGCCACAGGAGAGATTTGGTCCACGATAGGGAACGGGCCGGTGAGCGGGCGTCCAGCTTCCGCGAAGGTCGAGAGGGGTGGAGGTGGCGAGTGGAGAGCCAAACCAGGTCACCGGCGCGAGTTCCGGCCCCACCTGGCGGTGGCGGTCGGCCTGGGCTTTGTACGCTTCCTTGGCCTGGTGCAGTTGCTCCACCAAAAGCTGTTGCTGGGACTGGAGCTCTTGAAGCCACTCCGTCACCGCCGGGACCGCGGATGCCGGCAGCACCTCTGGAAACAGCCGTGGATGATAACCATAACTGGCCTGGAGCAGGGTCTGCTGGGTGGACGCATTCACCGCGTTGTTATAGGCGAACTCCGCCAATGCCAGGTGGTCGACCCAGTCATCCTGCTGGTAGCTGCAGTAACACCGGAGGTACTGCTCCAGCACCGCGTTCGCCCGTTCCGTCTGGCCATCGGTCTGTGGGTGGTAGGCTGACGAGAGGCAGACCTCTGTCCCGAGGGTCTGGTGTAATGCTCGCCAGAACCGGGATGTGAACTGAACGCCCCGGTCGGACACCACGCGCTCAGGTAGTCCATGCAGGCGGAAGACATGCTGAAGGTACAGCTGAGCAGTTTCCTTGGCTGTGGGTACAGATGGACAGGGAGCGCAGTGCACCATCTTGGTGAAATGGTCAGAGAAAACCAGAAGGCAGGTACAGCCACGAGACGAGGGTAAGTCCACTACAAAGTCCAACGAAACTGTGTGCCAAGGGCGCGGTGGAACTGGCAATGGCTGAAGTAGGCCGGGGGGGGGTCGCCCGGTAGGTCCCTTGGCGCGTCGGCAGACATCACAACCAGCAACGTAGCGAGCCACGTCAGCCTTCAGGCGGGGCCACCAAAACTCACGACTGACCAGATGGGTGGTCCGATACCGTCCAAAGTGCCCCGCTGCCGGGGCATCATGGGCCATCCGGAGAACCTCCAGCCGCAGTGGCCCTGGCGGGATGTACAGACGACCGTGGTGCAGCAGGAGGCCCTGATGCAGGACCAGCCCCGGATACTGTGGGCTGGACCCTTCAGCCAGCTCCCGGAGTCGTTCCTGGGCCCAAGCGTCGACCCGTTGCTGTTCCCGCACCCGAACCTGCAGTGGCTGCGCCTCCTGGGTGGCCAGGAATGCAGCCGGAGGTAGGATCGTGGTGGGTTCTGCTTGCTGTACCGTGTCTGCGTTGTCTTCAGGTTTCCGGGACAGGGCATCCGCCTTCAGATTCTGAGAGCTAGGGATGTAGCGGATCCGAAACTGGAACCGGGAAAAGAACAACGCCCACCGGATCTGTCTTTGGTTCAGCTTGCGGGTGGTCTGGAGGTACTCCAGGTTCCGGTGGTCGGTTCTTACCTCCACCGGATGTCGTGCCCCTCAAGATGGTGGCGCCAGACCTCAAAGGCTACCTTGATGGCCAGTAGTTCCCGCTCCCACACAGTATAGTTACGCTCCGCTGGTAGGAGCTGGCGGGAATAGAAGGCACAGGGTAAGAGTGGCGCTCGGGTCCAATCTGTTGAGACAAGACGGCACCGAGAGCCGTACTGGAGGCGTCGGTCTCCACCACAAAGGGTCGAGAGGGGTCAGGATGTTGTAAGATTGGTGCCCTCTGGAAACAGGCCTTCAACCCCTGAAACGCCTCCTCTGCCTCCTTGTCCCCGGACCAAGCCGTCTGTGGGCGCAGAAGCCGGGTCAACGGGGTGGAGCGAAGAGCATAATCAGCGATGAAGGTCCGGTAGTAGTTGGCGAACCCCAGGAAACGTTGTAGGTCCTTGCGGTTCCGGGGTGCCGCCCATTCTTGAACCGCTGTCACCTTCCCGGGTCCATTTGCACCCCATCCGGAGAGAGCCGGTGACCAAGGAAGTCCACAGTCCGCTGATGGAACTCGCACTTGCTGAGCTTTGCGTACAAACGGTGCTCACGCAAGCGCTGCAGCACGGTCCGGACATGTCCCTCATGGCGAGCCGGGTCACGGGAGTAAATCAGTATGTCATCCAAATACACCACCACGTACTTGTCTAACAAGTCCTGAAACACGTGGTTGATGTAGCGTTGGAACACAGCAGGCGCGTTGCACAACCCGAAAGGCATGACCAAATATTCGAACTGCCCGTACCGGGTCCCAAACGCTGTCTTCCACTCATCCCCGGCTCGGATCCGAATCAAGTTGTAGGCCCCCCGGAGGTCCAGCTTGGTGAACACCTGTGCCCCTTGCACCCGCTCCAGCAGCTCCGAGATAAGGGGCAAGGGGTACCGGTCTGGGACGGTAATTTTGTTCAAGGCTCGGTAATCATGGCAAGGGCGGAGTTCCCCACATTTCTTCTTAACGAAAAGCACTGGTGCCGCGGTAGGCGAGGTGGAAGGCCTAATGAACCCACGCTCCAGGTTCTTGCGCAAGAAGTCCTGCAAAGCCTCGCGCTCTGGCTCTGTTAGAGAATATAAGCGACTCACTGGTAGAGGCGCTCCGGGTTGGAGGTCTATGCCGCAGTCAAAGGCCGATGCGGCGGCAGCTGGTCTGCCCCCCGTTCCTCGAACACGTCCTGGTAGTCCTGATACACGGCTGGGAGCGTGGGTGCTGCCTCCTCTGAGGGCGCGGCCGCCAGCGTCCCAGATTGAGCATGGGAACATGGGTCTGGGAAGTGCACGGTCCGTTTGACCCAGTGAATCTGAACGTTGTGGGCTTCCAGCCAGTCCATCCCGAGCACCAGGGGAAGCGGGGCATAGAGGCAATGTCCAAAGTTCGCAACTCCCGGTGCTGCTGGAAACACAGGACCAGGGGCTGGGTCTCCTGAGTAACGGCACCTGAACACAGAAGTCGTCCGTCAATCGCTTCCACCTGGACCGGTACTGGCTTGTTCCGAAGTGGCACCTGATGATGGGCGGCAAAAGCAGCGTCCATATAAGAGCGGGTTGCCCCTGAATCTACCAAAGCATGGGTGAGGATCCAGGGCCCACCTGGAGGGTATAAACGTACCGGAACCATAAGATGTTGCGAGTCCATTGATGCAGGCCCATTCTGCGCGGTTTGGGACCCCCGGCAGCTAGGGCCATCAGCTACTGGGGTTGGCGGTTTCCCTGCGGCTGGCGTTTCTCAGGGCAAGACCGAGCGAAGTGTCCACTTCCGCCACAGTAAAGACAGAGATTTCCCTCCCGACGCCGCGCCTTCTCTGCGGGGGAAAGGCGTGGCCGCACTGCCCCGAGCTGCATAGGCTCCTCCGTTAAATCAGTTGTGACCGTGGGGCTGCCGGAAAAGCTGGTGCCGTGAACTGGAAGTGTCGGCGACCCGGGCCTGACGACGATCCTCCAACCGGTCGTCTATTTGTAGACTCCGTTGAATGAGAGTGTCTAGCGTGGTGGGGCGTTCCATTGTGGCCAACTGGTCCAGTACCTCGTCTGAAAGCCCTTCGAGATACTGGTCCCGCAGTGCCGAATCATTCCAGGTCAAGTCCTGTGCCAACAGCCGAAACTCCGTGGTATATGCGGCCACCGTGGACTTGCCCTGTTTCAAACGCCGAATCGCCCGGTTGGCTTGACTCCCTTTCGGGGGTTGCCGAACGCGGCCTCCAAACGATTGCAAAACCCCGTATAGTCTGCCAGCAAGGGGAGTCTTGCCTGAGTAGCGGCAACGCCCACTTGGCCGCCTGGTCCTTTAACAAACTAATCAAAAAGTGCACCTTGGTGCGGTCGTCAGGAAAGTTCCGGGCTCGCCCCTGAATATACAGCTTGGCCTGGGCCAGGAACATGGGAAAGCTGGCCGGGGCTCCATCAAATTTCTCAGGCAAAGCCACTGGGTACTTGCCAGGAGCCGGGGCGTCGGCCCCAGGAGCCGGTAGGGCTTCCAAGCGTTGCTGAAGTGCCACAACCGCGTCACTGAGCTGCTGCACGGTGTGAGTCAAGGCCTGGTTCTTCTGGGCCAAAGCCATCAGTGCAGCCGCCTGGTCAGCCATGGCCTCTGGCTCTTCCCGAACGCACCCCTACGAAGGGGGAGTGCGGGTTTGGCGGGAGCAAACTGTGCTGGTCCCGGGGGTAAGGTACCTTGGGTGTAGCAGAGTCCACACGAAGAGGGGCAAGGTCCGAGGCAGAGAGCCGGGCGGGGAACAGGAATGCTGGAACGGGAGGCTGTGCAGGGAGCAGGAACACCGGATGGTCGGGAACAGGAGGCCGAGCAGGGAACAGGAGTACCGGATAGTCAGGAACAGGAGGCCGAGCAGGGATCAGGAACACAGGAAGGTCCGAAGCCAACAACGACGTTGCTCCCGCAACCTGGGGCCGGGCTGACTGGGCTTTTATCCTCTTCTAAGGCCAGGGGCGGTCCCGGTCCCCAGGAGCCCCGCCTCCTCTGGCCTTAAGGCGAGCACTCCTCCTGGGGGCAACCAGTTCCCTTCGCCTCTCTGCCCTAAGCCTCTGCAGATCAGGAGAGGCCGAAGGGTTACTGGGCCCTGGAGGAGGCTCACCTGTGGCCACTGAGTCATCAAGCCCCTCTGGGGCCAGAAGGGCTTCACCTGGGGCCAGCTTCTGATGCACTGCCACAGGTGCAGGCTCTTCAGCATCAAGGCCTTGCCCCAGTTCAGCCGGCCCTGGAGGCGGGGACTCCTGTGCAGGCTGGGATTCCTCTGTTTCATCCTCCGAATCGGAATCCCAGGCCATCACATGGTGAAATTTGCAGGCACGTGAGAGCTATAATGCACAGGAGAAAATGGAAAGCAGAGAATATAAAACAGACAGTGAAGCATAAGCCTTTGTGTATGTTTTCATCTGATTTGTGGCACTTAGTTGACATCACACCTCTTGACAACAAGGGATTTGTTCCCAGTACAAAGCAGTTGAAAACTTTTAGTTAAAAACAGCCATGTCTTATGAGAGCTCTTATCACACAAACAGCTTCTCCAGATAGATGTTTTGTAATAAAATATTATAAATTACTGCAGCATAGAAATATTTCCTTTGCATCTTGTTAATAAATTACTATCCAATTTGAACTGATAGAGAAAGGATGTGGAAAGGAAAGCAGGCTCCCCAAAACATCAGCTGAGAAATATGCAATTTACATGATGTATACTTAACTAATAGTACTCTGCAAAAATGTGATATGAAACTTATACATTGGGAATTATTTAAGATATCATGTAAATTGCATATTTCTCAGCTGATGTTTTGGGGAGCCTGCTTTTTCGGGTTCCTATTGTTATTCATTTTGATGTGTAACATCAGTGGCCTTGATTTCATTGCATTTTGCTGATTTTGTTTATCTGTACATTAAGAAGACTAAAGACATCAGCTCATTGTCCATTTCATCAATTGAGGGCTTCATTGGCAAGAGTGTCTAATAAACATTGACTTAACTCATCCAGATTCCACACCCTCCCAGTCACAGCTTTCCTGATGATAGACATTCCACTTCAGCAGGATTTTTTATCAATGTCCATGATATTAACTTATTAATACTGATAAACATTTTAATTTATGTAGTGGACTATTTTCAGCCAAAGATGTTAAAGTAGTTTTACTAAAGCAGAGTTTTAGCTACCTTCCAAAACTCAGTGAAGAGAGAAACTGGGACCTATTGAGACTCAAATAGATCAACTGTTTATAGGTGTAATTAAATGAGAGTTTATTTTCCCTACATTCATTCTTCAATTCATCAAGGACAGTTTGAAGAATTGGCCTATTTATTATTTTTATACCATCTAGGATCTTAGAGTGATATACATTATCCCATTTTATTAGAGCGGCATACATTATCCCAATAGGTTGAGAGATAAGGGACTAGCCCAAGGTCACACAGTGAGCTTCTTAGTGGATGACTGCAGATATGTATGTGTTCAAAGACCAACATTCACTGTACGTTACTGTCTTCCTCCTGTATATCTAAGTTTTGATTAAAAAGGTTGGCAGAAAATGTCCCTAAGAATGTCTCATTAGTGTTGCCTAAATTCCCTTTCCTTCCCTCAGAATTGCGTAGGTGTATCTCCCATGTAGGAATGTCCAAATTTACCATGAATAGTCACTTTTATGAAAATTCAGTAGCAACACTAGTTCCAGATTATATCAGCTTTGCCCAGTGCCCAGTGGGTTTGTTCATGTAGTGTTGACAAGAGTCAGCCGCTACACACAGAATAGTCCTGCACTGGTGTCTTTGTGGGTCCTATTAGGAATGCATGAAATTTTGCTCATCTTATATTTTCGCTTCTCCCCAAATTTCCAAAATATTTTCCTTACCCAGGAGCCTTCAAATGCACTTTGAAGTCTTGGGAAGCAGATGACTCTTACAGGATATGTTTTATTTCAGTCCGATGGCCTATTTGTCCTAAGCACTATATATGCCTCTCCTTTTACCTCCAACAGTTTGTTTCAGTGCATTTGTGCACCTCAAGAGAGAGGTAAAAGGAATGTAGGATAAAAGAGTATCTGATTAACATACACTCTTCAGGGAAATCTTGGACCATCCTAACACAGCTCTCATGCCTAACTTATCTGTATGACATAAAAGGCAGCGTGATGGAGGAGACTCCTTCCTCTCTCTGCCTTTTTTTTTTAATGAATCATTTTTGTTTTAATTTTAGTACCCACTGGACTTGAATTGACATGAAAAAATGAAATTGGGGGAACTTAAAAGTCTTCAAAGAGGGTTTTTGTGGATATTTTTGGTTTCCATTAACTTTCAGTCTATCTTCCTACATTGTTTCTCCTGAGGCATGACAGCTTCTTGACTCTTTACCAAACTTTTATGTAACAGTGCATTGCCATATGTTTTTTTTCAGTGTTTTATTTTTTAAAAAAGAAAAAGTGTTTAGTTTAGCAAGAGAATAAGCAAAAAGTATTAAGCAAAATACAGGAAACTCGCAAGTTATGCTTATTTAACATATGCACTTGAACCTTTAGGCACGTTGCCCCCCCCAAAATTATAAATAAATAAAAATTATGCAAAAATGAGAGACACGTTGCGGGGGGGGGATAAGGAAATGGTGTGAAAATAGCATGCGTGGGCGGAAACGGGGAAGAGGCAGTTCGAGACATTGGATTGGAAAAGGCCTGAGAGTTTTGCAGAGGGATTTGGAGAGCCAACAGATGGGGTTGGAATGCAGAGGAGGTGGTTGACAGAGCTTCAGATGGCAGAATCACCCTAAAATGCAAGGCATCATCATGATGATGATCATCAGCTGCTGAGAAACCAAAAACGTGGAGGGTGATTACCACGCTGGAAGTTGAGTGTCCTGGACTGCTTGAGATGTGGCATGTCTGTGTGTGCTGTGGCATGCAGATTTGGCTAGAACAAGTCCAACATCTGTGTCATCAAGGTTTTTGAGAAAGAGAACTGTGGGGCTGTGGTAGCAAGTGCCCCACTAACAGCATATGACCAGCCAGGAGTGGGATAAGGCTTTGGTGGAGACAGAAAAGGCACTGAACTTGTGGCAGGGAGACATGAACCACTTCAGACCTTCCAACACAGATGAGGACCAGCCTGCCAAGGAATTTAAAACCAGCCCAGCTTGGCTTAACAGCTTTAAGACCTGCTTCAACCTGAAGAACATCTGGATCACAAGGCATATCTTCATGAACAAATCTCCAGTGCAGACGAGACATAGTTTTTCTGGAAGAAAATGCCTAAGCAGACTGAAATTGACACAGATGAAAAGCGAGCCCCTGGCTTCAAAGCTGCAAAGGACTGAGTGACTGTGCTGCTCTGCGGCAATGCGGTTAGAGCGTTAATAAAGCCAGACTTGCTGTCCGGGTCTCAAAATCCCTGTGCCCCAAAAGGCAATGACAAGTATCTGCATCCTGTGTTTTTGCACAAAGGCCCGGGTGACTTCTTTATCATTTCTGGCCTGGTTCCACAACTGCTTCATTCCAAAGGTGAGGCATTACCGCAAGGAGAAACAACTGAAGTTTAAAGTGATGCTGCTTGTGGACAATGCTCATGAGCGTCCTGAGGGACTCCACTTTGCATGCAGCAAGGTAGAGGCTATCTTCCCCCCTCTGCCCCCACAATGACCTTCCTCATCCAGCCTTTGGATCAAGGTGTGGTTCGCTACTTTAAGTCGGTTTAAACAAAGCTCACTGTGCTGGTTCCGGGGGGCTACCGTGCGGCGTGGTCCGATTAAAGACACTCAGAAACTCTTAAATGTTTGATGAGCTCAAAAGGCAACAGTAGCAGTTGTGAATCACCATGTTCCTCAGAAAGAAATCAGCACCAGATGTGCCCATGCAGCCCACCTCTGGATCTGAACCACAGCCAAGCACTTCTTTTGGCTACTGGTCAATTCCCCTGGTCCTCATATCTTAGAATCATGGAGCTGTAGAGTTGGAATGGATCCCAATGGTCATCCTATAATGCAGGAATCCTGCCCACAGCCATTCTGGGGTGGGCTGAAACCACCAACCTTCTGTTTAGCAGCCAGATGCACTGAAGCATCATCCAGTGAGGGAGAGGATCATAGTGTGTGGAATCATAGAATTGTAAAGTGGGACCACAAGGGTCATCTAGTTCAACCCCTGCAATGCTAGAATCCTTTGCCCAACATGGGGCTCGAACCCACAACCCTGAGATTAAGAGTCTCACGCTCTACCAACTGAGCTAGGAAGACTGAGAGCTGCTGTTGTCCCTCACTGTGTTTTAAACTGTTCTAGTCCCCCACCCAGTTTTCTAGGGGGTGCTCTGGTGTTACATGATTTTGCTCATATGTGTGATGACGAGGACCATAACTGCTGTGTAAGTAAGCTGCATGCACACAGTCAAGCCTTATTTATTTTAACCACATTTTCACGTTAAACGTTAAGGGATATATCTAACACCCAATGCACAAGGCATCACATTTACAAGCTGTGTAACCACAACCCTCACCCCAACAAAATATTTTTATCATTGTTTGCATTGTCATATTTGTTTGTCTTGTCAGTGAACATGGTAAAGGGAATAAAAAGTTTATTTTTAAAAAATAAGAATGTTGCTTAAGGCGCTTGGAGTGGGAATTCAAGCTTCTTTGCTGACTTGCAAGCTAAGGTGTGAGTGAGCAGAAAGGCAGTGTGCCTTTTTTAACCTCATGGTAATCTTCTTCAGTCACATGCAGATTTAAACCCTTCAGGGATAGGAAGATTTGTACTGCTTCAAGTATAGATCTTTTCCTGGTGGGGGAAAAATGCTAAAAGTCATTTGCAGTTGTGAAGTGAGGTCTTTTTGTTTTGTTTTTTTTAGCTGCCCCATATGATAAAACTGTAATTACAGTATTTTCAAAGGTACAAATGCTTAAGCCTGGAAGACTGCTCCCCCACAAACAAACAATCAGTGCATGGGCGCAAATTTACAAATATATCCCCCATCCAAAAAAGAGGAAACACATCAAATAGGGGACACCAGATTTGCATAAAACGTGCCCATGCTAACATATGCATAGATGCAAAGTTAGAAATTTTCACAGTAATTTAAATAGCAATTTAATACATCTCACCATGGATGGAAGTTGTGCCTTCTGTCAGGTGCTAACTGCTGGTGGACAGCTTCAAGACCCTGATCTTCCTTCTTATGGCCGTTTATCTGTCCTGTCTTTTGTAAATTAGAACTTACGCCCACCATAAATTTATGCCAAACACCCAGATCAAAAAGTCTGGAAAGTTTCCCCAAAGAATATTCAGTCATTTTAGGCCTCCCTTGCCAAATATTTGACTCAAACTGCATTATGTGATTGGCTGTGTACACTCAGGTGAAATGGTGGGATTTTAAAATAAGGTTTCTACCATGCCATAGCCTGAAAGTGATACCCAAGGAATTTAAGGCTGCTATTTGATTCTTTCATATTTTGAATGTTAATGATCATTAATCTGGAAGCGTGCTCAGGAATGGGAGCCACTTGGCCACCCACAAAGGTGCAATCCGCCACTATTAAAATCTATAATAATAATAATAATAATAATTTTTTATTTATACCCCGCCCTCCCCAGCCAAGGCTGGGCTCAGAGCGGCTTACAAGCAATAATAAAAACAAGATGAATGATTACAACTTAAAAACAAAAATAAAATACAACATTAAAATAATGGAACATTAAAATATTAAAATGTAGCCTCATCGCAGGAGGAGAAGGAAAAGAAAAAAGAAAGACAGGGAGGGAATCAAATTGGCTCCAAGCCAAAGGCCAGGCGGAACAACTCTGTCTTACAGGCCCTGCGGAAAGAAATCAGATCCTGTAGGGCCCTGGTCCCATGAGGCAGAGCGTTCCACCAGGCCGGAGCCAGAGTTGAAAAGGCCCTGGCTCTGGTTGAAGCCAATCTAACTTCCTTAGGGCCTGGGACCACTAGGGTGTTGTTATTTATGGACCTTGAGGCTCTCCGTGGGGCATACCAGGAGAGGCGGTCCCGTAGGTACGAGGGTCCTAGGCCGTGAAGGGCTTTAAAGGTCAAAAGCAGCACCTTAAATCTGACCCTGTACTCCACCGGGAGCCAGTGTAGCTTGAAAAGCACAGGGTGAATATGCTCCCATGGCAGAGACCCTGTGAGGAGCCTCGCTGCAGCATTCTGTACCAGCTGGAGTTTCTGGGACAGCTTCAAGGGCAGCCCCGCGTAGAGCGAATTACAGTAGTCAAGCCTGGAGATGACCGTTGCATGGATCACTGTGGCCAGGTCGGGGCGGGAAAGGTAAGGGACCAACTGCTTGATGCGGCGAAGGTGGAAAAATGTTGCCTTGGCTGTTGCTGTAACTTGCACCTCCATGGAAAGGGAGGCGTCAAGGATTACACCCAAACTCTTAACGGAAGGCAATGGCACTAATTGGGCCCCTGCAAGAGAAGGGAGTTGGTCCCTCATCCCCATTGACCTAGCCATAGGACCTCTGTCTTTGAAGGATTTAGTTTCAATCGGCTCCCACGAAACCATCCAGCTACAGCTTCCAAGCATCTGGTCAGTGTGTTTAGGGCCGAGTCGGTGTGGCCATCCATCAGCAGATAGAGCTGAGTGTCATCAGCATATTGGTGACAGCCCAGCCCAAAGCTCTGGATAATCTGGGCAAGGGGGCGCATAAAGATGTTAAAAAGTATCGGGGAGAGAATTGCGCCCTGCGGCACTCCACACACCAAGGAGTGGCGCGACGACATTTCCCTCCCTAGTGCCACCCTCTGTCCCCGACCAGAGATAAAAGAGCACAGCCAGTTACGGGCTATGCCCTGTATCCCCACGTCTGCGAGGCGGTGGTCCAGAAGATCATGATCGACCATGTCAAAGGCTGCTGACAAATCTAAAAAGATCAGCAGTCCTGACCCGCCTCGATCCAGTTGTCTACGGCGATCATCTGTTAGGGCAACCAGAGCCGTCTCCGTCCCAAAAGCAGGACGGAAACCGGACTAAAATGGATCTAATGCCGATGTTTCCTCCAGAAACCTACCAAGCTGTTCAGCAACCACTCTCTCAATTACCTTACCCAGGTATGGAAGATTTGAAACTGGGTGGTAATTGGATAGGTCTAAGGGATCTGATGAAGTTTTCTTTAAGAGTGGACACACCACTGCTTCCTTCAGTTCCCCTGGGAATGTCCCCGTGTCAAGGGACAAATTGATAATTTCAACCAGGGGGGTCCGCGCAACATCTGGACACTCCCTAATCAGCCAAGACGGGCACGGATCAAGGAGGCAGGTGGTGGGCCTACCAACTTGGAGGAATCTATCCACATCAGTAGGGAGTATCCGATCGAAATGGTCCAAGACTGGACCTGAAGTCAGTCGAGGGGCCTCCAGTTCCGTCACTGTATCTAAATTGGCAGGGAGGTCACGGCGGAGCAACAGGACTTTCTCCGCAAAAAAGCTCGCGAATGCCTCACAGCTGTGGGTCGAATTTGTGCTTAAATTTGGTTGTCCTCCCAAGGATGTTATTGACCTAATTATTCTAAAAAGTTGTGCCGGGCGAGAGCTAGCGGATGCAATGGAAGCTGCAAAGTAAGATTTCTTAGCAGCTTTCATAGCCATCTCATAGGCTTTCATAAGCGTCCTATAAGATGTTCTTGAGGCTCCGTCACGAGTCCGTCGCCATACTCACTCTAGCCGTCTGAGATCCCGCTTCATTTCCCGGAGCTCCTCAGTAAACCAAGGGGCCCGGTTTCGACGGGGCCGCAGAGGGCGCTTAGGCGCGATCTCATCAATGGCTGCCAAGAGCCGGTTATTCCAGTCCTCAACAAGGTCATCTAATGAGTCGCCAGGAGGAGCAGGGTTCCACAAGGCTTGTTGGAATCTATCAGGATCCATCAGTTATCGCGGACGAGCCCAAATAGGTTCGCCACCCGAGCCGGGGAGGAGCGGGAAGTCAATCTTGGCTTTCAGAGCGTAGTGATCAGACCATGGCACTTCCACAGCGGGGAGCATGATCACATCTATGCCAGCCCCAAAGATCAGATCCAGCGTGTGGCCTGCTTGATGAGTGGGGCCCAAAACAAACTGGGAGAGCCCTAGTGTTGCCATGGAAGTGACTAGGTCCAGAGCCTGTAAGGAGGGAGCGGCATCGGCATGGACGTTGAAGTCTCCCAAAACCAGTAGGTGGCCCAGGCCGCCACCACCTCCAGCAGGTCTGACAGGGTGGCTGCAGGTGTGCTGGGTTGTCGGTACACCAGCCAGACAGCCAAGCTCTCCTTGGTGCCCCACACGAGACCAACACATTCAATGCTGGAGATCGCCGCTGATGGCAGAGCTCTGAAAGAGCAATCCTCCTGGAATAACAACGCTACTCCTCCCCCCCGACCCACAGTCTGTGATTGAAGGAGGACAGAGAAACCTGGGGGTGTTATCTCATGTAGGGAGACTACTTCGCCTTCCCGTACCCAGGTCTCCGTCACGCAAGCCAGGTCAATCCCCTGTGAGACAAAAAAGTCACGCATGGTGGCGGTTTTGTTACCTATGGACCTGGCATTGCACAGCACCAATGACGGAGGTGTGTAATCCTTGCTCTCCCTACCCTCATCCCTTGGGATGGGGCGTAGATTGGAAGGGGTTCGAGGATCACTGCATCTCGAAACCCTTTGCCGATAGAGATATCTAGCCCCACCGCCATTCCTCCCTAGCCCTTCAATTGTGGAAATCCCAGATCCCATACTAGCTTCCCCAATAGATGGGTAACATCCCCTCAATAACAAGTCATCCTTGGGCCAGGACTCCTGGGTCAAAATGGTATGGGAAAGAGGTGGAGGTCTGATAGGGTAAGTATCCCTAGAAGATAAAACCCAACCAACCGCACCTCAAGCAGGGGAGACAGTCCCATGGTGTTTCATTAACTGTCAATCCCCCTCTCCCTCCTGGGTTAATTGGAGGATTGTTGGTTCTATCTGTGGCTGTGGAAGTATTAATGAGGTATGTGTTATAAAATGTGGATCACTGGCCAACAAAGAGCCAGATTCGAATTTGGAAGATCTGTCCATCCTGTCTCGCCAGGAGTACAGTAGAGAAGGCTGATCATTCTGATAAGTTTTTGGAACATTAGGCAAAGGTCCAGATGTAGATTTGGTGCTGGATATCTCCAGATTGTCAGCCACATAGAGTTCTTTAGGTGTTGTTGCCATAGAAATGTCGGAGGCGCCAAATTCCTCATCTAATTTGGTGTCGTTTGAAAAGGGAACAG